ACAATCAAATGCCTTTGCATAGTCAATAAAACACAAGTAAACATCTTTCTGGTATTCTTTGCCTTGAGCCAAGATCCATCTGACAACAGCTATGATATACCTTGTTCCACGTCCTCTTCTGAATCCAGCTTGCACCTCTGGAAGTTCTCTGTCAATATACTGCTGCACTCGTTTTTGAATTATCTTCAGTAAGTTCTTACTTGCATGTGATATTAATGATATTGTTCTATAATTTCCACATTGTGTGGTATCACCTTTCTTTGGAATGGGTACAAACATGGATCTCTTATAGTCAGTTGGCCAGGTAGCTGTCTTCCAAATTTCTTGGCATATACGAGTGAGAGCCTCCAGTGCGACATCCATTTGTTGAAATATCTTAATGGGTATTCCGTCAATCCCTGGAGACTTGTTCTTCACCAGTTCCTTGAGTGCACTGTGACTTCTTCCTTCAATACCATTGGCTCTTGATCATATGCCACCTCCTGAAATGGATGAACATTGACCAATTCTTTTTGGTACAGTGACTCTGCATATTCCTTCCATCTTTTTTGAGGTTTCCTACATCATTCAATATTTTGCCCATAGAATCTTTCAACATGACAATTTGAGGCTTGAATTTTTTCTTTAGTTCTTTCAACTTCAGAAATGCTGAGCGTGTTCTTCCCTTTTGGTTTTCTAAGTCCAGGTCTTTGCACATTTTATTATAACAATTGACTTTGTCTTCTCGAGCTGCTCTTTGAAATCTTCTGTTCAGCTCTTTTATCTTGTCATTTCTTCCATTTGCTTTAGCTACTCTTCATTCAAGGGCAAGTTTCAGAGTCTCTTCTGACATCCATTGTGGTATTTTCTTCCTTTCCTGTCTTTTTAATGACCTTTTGCTTTCTTCATGGATGATGTTCTTAATGTCATCCCACAATGTTATGAGGTTGGAGGCTATGCTGCTGTTATTTCAAATACCAGCAGGGTTTCCCATGATGGACAAGTTTCAGAGGAGCTTCCAGACTAAGACAGACTTGAAAGAAGGAAGGGGCCATCCACTTCTCAAAGAATTGGCCAGTGAAAACCTCATGAATAGCAATGAAACACTGTCTGATATATTACTGGAAAACTTTATGATAGCATAAATTAAAAAAACAAACTCACTGCTCTCGAGTCAATTCTGACTCATAGTGACCCTCTTTGGATTTCCAAGGCAGTAAATCTTTAAGAAAGTAGATTGCCCCATATTCCTTCCACAGAGCACCTGGTGGGTTTGAACCTCCAACCTTCAGGTTAGCAGTCAAATGCCTTAGGCACTGTGCCACCAGAGCTCCTTAACAGGAGTGACCAAAGTCAAGATGGAGTTTTATTCTAACAGTTTGAAGTTATGCCTCACAAAGCAAAAATCTTTACCCTCACAGACTTCCGGTAAGATGGCAGAATAGGCAGAC